TGCTTCAATGTGGGTCTTTTAACAATGGGGAAATGATTGGTTTAAGGATATAAAACTACAACATTTGGACAAGAGGCATGGACTCTGTGAAGTGTTGAGGTCTACTGAAAGCATGATAAATATGGTTGATAACAATATGCTATATTTTAAAAGTTGTGAGATAGTATATGTGTGATATAACACGTTAATTGGTTTAATTTAGCCATGCCATTGTGAACATACTGTACTGTGTATCATAATTGTGCATGGGTTTATTTATGAGCTAAATAAATGAATGAAAAAAAAGAATTGAATAGATTCAAAACCATGCCTTTTGCCATTAAAGTTGTTCTTCAAGTCTGATACTTAAATGCAAGAACATGTGGCATTGAGACTGGAGAGATGGGCCAGCAGTTAAAAGAATATACTGTGTAGGGAGAAACGTAACCAGGCCTCCTAAGGTGTGGCTACAGGTGTGCCCCGACCACACCCATCAGGGTGTGGTCAAGGTGATGTCAGGGTGACGTGGGAAAGGTTTTAAAGGGACAGACAAGGCACATGGTCTCTCTTGCTTTGCTGCTTTAGCACGCTCTGGCTTGCTGTTGGCTGCCGTTTATTTATTAAAAGTTATCCTAACCTTACGGATTTCTTATCAGTTATTCATCTCAATAATACTGCTTTCCCAGAGGACTGGGATTCAGTTCTCAGCATCCACTTAGCAGTTCACAACCATCTGTAACTGAAGTTCCAGGAGATCTGGGGATTTGCTCTGGCCTCCTTAGACACCAAGTACACATGCATTACACATTATACATGCAGGCTAAGCACTTGTACACATCAAACAAAACTACATATTTTTAAAATGTCCCCCATCGATACCTGAGGCAGGTGGGAGATCTGTCCCTGAGCTCATAAGAGTGGAAGAACTCTACCTGCCCCCTACCAGCTGCAGCACTGGGGAAAACCCCCCTTGCACCTCTCCTGGATAACATAGTACAGCTGGCTCTGAAGGTGTGGGTGTGGAAGGACCGCCCCTGAGCACATGAAAGCTGGAGAACTGGCCCAGCACCTTGCTCATTGTTGCAAGGGGTGAAGTAGCCAGAGCAATGCTGGAGAGCCCACCCTGGTGGCAAAGACAGGGGCAAATTGGCAGGTTGACCAATACTGCAACTACCCAGGGTTATATGTTGGCCCACCCCAACATCCACCCCATCTGTGATCCCCTGAACACAAGAGGCGGGGTTGGGGGTCAGTCCTGCAAACCCAGGGCTGCAATTTCTCCATGACACAGGGCGGCAGGGGGATGTCTGGGAAGAGTCCCAGTGAGGGCTCAGCATCGATGGTGTAGCAGAGACCAGGGGCTTGGAACCGGACCGGTGATTCTTTGGGATGAGTGCCTGCATGTAAACATGTATGGATAAAGGGGTTTACTGCATGACTCACTGTGCCACACTGTAGCTTCCATGACGAAATTCCCCCTTTCTTCCCCCCTTTCCCTCTTTCTTCTATTAAATTTTATTTTGTTTTATTTTGAAGTGGGAAGAAGATGGCTGAGATTGAGAAACATGAACTGGAGACATGATCTGAAAGGCATCAAAATAAATAGAAATAAATGCATTTTTAAAAAGGATCTGCCATACAGTGGTTAGAGACACATCAGTGGATAGTGTTTAGATTGTGAGCCAGCCAGGTAGCAGGCTGTGTTAGCCTGTTTTCTTCTTTGCTGTAATGTACTGCAATGAAATATCAGAGATCAGGAACATCATTAAAACATACTATGTTTAAAGTTCACAGTTTGGGAGACTGCAGTTCTAAGCAAATGGAGTTCATTTTGTTTCTAGAGAGGACCCCCTAGCTACACCACCTCATAGTAGCTCTCTCAGCAGAGTGAGAGAGAGGCAGAGACAGATAGACACAGATGTAGAGACACAGAGACAGGAGAGAGAGAGAGAGAGAGAGAGAGAGAGAGAGAGAGAGAGAGAGAGAGAGAGAATGTCAAACAGAAAGTCATTGAGCATTTGAGCAGATTCAGGGATCAACACTATCATTCCAAAACAACTGGTGAGTATGGTTTATTGGACATAAAGTTTTATTTCCATAGCTATTCATGGATATACACTTGTCTGAGAACACTTGAATATTTACAAAATGGCCACTCACCAAGAGGCACAAGGAAGTATCAGAACTGCTATTGTGACTGCTGTTTTTTGGTGACAGCCTTTTCATAAGAACTACCTGGGGTCTCATAAGATCCACATCAATTCCCTGGAGAGTGATGCCTTCCCTAACTCCCCATAAATCTGCAAGGCTCCACATGACAACGGCTCTGTCCTGTCTTCCCACATCAGTGCACTGAGGATGAAACTCCCAACACAGATCCCATTCAGTACATGCAAACGATATCTGAACCACAACACAGGAGCTTTCCAACAGAGACAAAAGGGTAACTAGAACCCAGAACTCCTGTCCCCTTAGCAGTTGTTTAAGATTTATATCAAGGCAAGAGCGGGGAACACCTTGTGTTCCTGACTGTCGTGTGGCAATTATAAAAAGGAGACCAAAGTTATCCAGCTTTATTACCTTTTGAAAATTATTTGCTGACCACTATTGCCTGCACCTTGGATGAACTCTTCTGATCATTTCTCTCTGATAAAGCCTCCCCAGTAGCGGAGCTTCCTGGGACCCTTAAGGCACATCACAAAGCCAGAGGCCAGTCTGAGCACTGACTTTGAAAACTTCAATATTGTGCAACAAGCATTATTGATAGCCTTCCAAAGTCAGAGTCGCTTTCAGGTGCTAGCAATTTTAGGTAAAATGGTTCCTTTCTCCCCATGCTGAGGGTAGTAAGTAGCGTGGTCTCCAACAATTCAAAGCAGTAGGGTTCCCTAAAACCGTCCTGTGTCCTTTCTACCGCCTTGATTATCTTTCCCGGGGTCCTTGTTGGCAAGTCTCTTTCTTCTAAGCCCCCTATCCTACCACATCTCTACAAGCTTTGAGTGTGGAGCTCTAGCTGTAGGGGAGAATTATCTTCTCAGAAGGGGGAACCAATAAGAAGGGCTCCTTCACCAACACACATCTATTAAACCCACTGCCCTTATGGGCCTGACAGTCACCTGCCCATAGGATTGTAAAAGCCTGTAGGAAACGAATGGTCCTGAGATTGTTTGATGCAGGGTTGCAGCAAGGATCGACCCTCCTTGTTATTCTTGTTACTCTGTACCACGAGCTAAAGCTTACTCAGCAGGCACCCAGGCCAACCAAGTCACAAAAGCCCAAGTCACAAAAGCCCACGACAAAGTGCATGTCAGCAGTTCACAGAGATAAAAGGCTGGTAGTGGAAAGGGGAAGGTTAACGTGGACTGTCAGGGCTGCCACCATCCTCCACTTTTGTAAGGGTTTCCTCACAGTTCACTCCACCTTGATGGGATTTTTTAAAAGCAACCTAACAATTCCGAATTTAACAGTGCCATCTACGTAGAGTTCTTGACTCGGTCTCAGGGTGGTCAAGGAACCCTTTCATGATTAGGCAAACAGTCCCTTAATCTCTCCTCGTTGAAGATGGACAGTACAAGCCACAGCACTACAGTCCTCATCTGGTTTCCCAAGACCTCCTGACAGATGGGTGGAACAACCATGCCTCTCACCCCACCCAAACAAAACTCAGGCAGAATCAGAGACTCCACACTGAGGATCTTTAGAGGCTTTGACTAATTTCCTATCCTTTATGTTAATGGCTGCTGAGAGAAGAAATTATCAATGAGAGGATTTTGGTTGTTGTTATTTTTGGTCTGGCTGGAAAGGGGGTGTGGTAGTATCGTCACATCTTTTCACGTCCCATCTCTCCTGTATTCTGTGTTCTATCTCAACAATTCCTTATGTGAGGACAGCCATTGGCTGACATGAATGGCATTTTAAAAAATTAAAATTAAAATAAGGAAGTGGGGGTTTTTAATTTGACTGTATAGGATCACTAATTTTTGGCAGACCCAGGAGAATAATTGGTGAAGAAAGTCACTATTAAACATAACTAATATGACCCCGTGTCATTTGCAGAGAAACCGGAGTGGCTGTTTTACATTATCTGCTCCTCTGCATGGTCTCTTATGAGTTCTTAAGATCTTCAAAGACAAGACTTGAGATTGATTCTTTGGGGCTATTTTCTGTTCTGCGGAGAGTGTTTGTCACTGCTTGGGGCAGGTGTGTGCATGAATTATCTTAACCATGTCAGGGTCAATCACAGCAGTATGGAATCAGCCTGTCAGTAGCAGACTGATAAGCACAAATTTCAAAATGAAACAGATGTGACTGAGCCAGGCTAGAACCAGAAACCACAGGGCCAAAGTGAATGTTAATGCCTGCTGGGGATGAGGGTAGGAAGAGGCATGTGGCACTTGTCACTAACATGTGACCTCAGAAACCTCCATGATCAGTTTTGACCGTGTGGGTTTGTATATTTTCAGATGTGCAATGGGAGGCTTGTAGGCAGCTGTCACCCAGGGACAGGGGGCCAGGCGCTGTGCCCTTCCACTCTCCTGCAGACTTCACTGAGTCATTGGACATCAATAGCAGCTTTTACTTTGAACGCTTTGAAAAGTCCCCTTATTTTGTAGATTATCGGTGGTAAAACTTGCTTACTATCTGCTCTATAACTAGCAAATCTTCCAACTTCTTGTTGACAGCATTTATGTGAAGATGGGATTATGTGTAGGACTAGAGTTTATATTAGTATTCTTTTATTCGTTGTCATACAACAAACACATACCAACACCCACTAGGATGCCAGGAATACACAGATGAACTGACTATTTTAGAGATTATGCGGTCTTGGGTCTTGATGCTCAGTTTGCTGTGCTGGGAACCCTGGGTCCAAGTCTAGACTCTGGTTTTGCTGGTTGGCATTTTCTTTGTGTGACTGAAGAGTTTCGAGGAATGGCCCTTTGAGGCGCTATCTTGGCTGAGGCTTGAGTGGTTGAGTGTCTAAGTAGAGCAGCACAAGACACAGCCTCCTGCTGAGTGATATAGCCTAGGGAAAGAAAAGAGGGTAATTTCAAAGTCAATATTTTTTCTTTAAAGGGTTTATTTAGTTTTTGTTTTATGCATATGAGTGTTTTGCCTGACTGTGTGTTATGTGTTCCACATGTGTGCCTGCTATTACCAGAGGCCATAAGAGGGTGATAGACCTCCTAGAGTTGAGCTTACAGGTTATGAGCCAATTGGGTGATGGGAACTGAACCCAGGTCCTTTGCAAGAACAGCAAGTGGTCTTAGCCACTGAGCCATTTCTTCAACTCAACAATTCTATAGAACAAAAGTATTCACAGAGGTGAACAAAGGTTCTACTTCTGTGATTAGCATGCCCTAGTTACAGGCTTTGAGGACAGGAAATGTTCATTTCTTATTTTGCATTTTTTCCTTCCATGAGCATGGCAGTTAATCTTCACTGTCAACCTGAATACCTGGATAACCTAAAGATGGTTGAAGCACACATTGGGGGGTGTGTCTGTGAAGATATTTCTAGAGATGATCAACAGGGGGAGCCCCATCTGAATGTTGGTGAGTACCCACACTCTCTATTCTATTCCTCCTGGTTACCAGCATGTGAAAAGCTGTCCTGTATCATCACTTCCCTCTCATGATGGAATTACACCTCTAGAAACCATGAGCCAAAGTAAGTCCTTCTTAACCAGAGTGGTTTCTGTAAGATATTCTGTCATATGAATGGGAAGGGTTAAGTGACACAAGCTACTATAGTCATCAACTAGCATGTCAAGACATTTGGAAAGACACGAGCAATGAGTAGCCTTCTCATGTAACTTATCTTAGGTATCAAAACTTTCTTCACTCCAGAGAAAGATGCTGTCTGGTTTAAAATATAAATATTATTTCTTTCAGTGTTTCTCAAAGTACAATCCTCACTGTACCCACTAGATTCTCTGAATCCATGTGCTTAAAAAATTTCCCATTATAATTCAGAACTCTACTCTCTTCAAAGACCTTCTGCAGTTGAATCCCAAAGAGCAAGGTCTGGAATCTGCATTTTAGTAAAATGACATTCAGATTTTGTGAATACTACTAAATGCCTCTGCATTCAAGTTTATTGGCTTTTTTGGCATTTGGCTTTGAAAACAAACCACCAGATGGTGCTTCCACCTATTGCAGACAATCTCCAGTAATCACCAAACCCCAGGTCCTTGTTTGCTGCTTTTATGACCATGGTAAACTTATTTATCTCATGTGGGTTTCAGTTTTCTACCTGAGTTTGGAGGACTGTGCAGCAAAGGGGGTGCACAACTACAGATACTCCTGTAAGATCAAGGAATTAGTAGCAATGAGGCTTTCCAGTAGGTTGATGCTCATGATGGTTTACGTCTTTTGAAACCATGGTTTCATCTGTGCTTTGTAAAATCAGAGTGGACTTGCTAGGAAGGGAGAAAGAGCAAAGTATGAGCAGATGTAAGCCATAGTCTTTGGGAAGTCACTTCTTGCCTGAAGTCCTCATTGACAATGGCTGGCTTAAAGGTCTTCATCAAATTACATAATTTGAGTAGGGTTCTGGTTCTACAACTGTATATTGTACATAATGCAGGATATATGGGCTATGCCAAGTGCTTAAATGTGTAGCTATTATTATTGGGAGTAAACTATGTTTGATCTTACACAAACAGTAAGGAGGGGAGCCATTGTTTGAGCTTATGCTGGCTTTCCAAGACCAGTGTATTGATCTACTAGATCAAGTTCATATAAATCTCAGAGAGTTGTTAACATTTTATAAGAATCCATACTCTAATTTCTTTAAACCCTCTTAATTCACCTATAAAACTTCACTGTCTATTGTCAGGGATAGTCATTTTTAAACTTGGCTAGCCAACCATGTTGAAAAAATAGGTTGGCAGAGGCCATTCTTCTTGAATTATTTATCTGGAGATGTGACTTCTGGCTGTAAAGAGTAAGTACCCTGATGATATGCCTGATTCTGGTAGGGTAGTTAAACTCACCCAGCTGCTGCCAGTACCCAAGGCTGTGGATGTAGCGGGTCTGTAGGGCCTTCCACTGTGGCCTGGTGTCATAAATCTTCATGATGCTGTAGAAGTAGCGCCGCTGCCCTTGATTTAGATCCTATTAGGACCAAGAGGTGACTTTGATAAGCCCCTATGCAATTACAAGTGTGACATGTTCAAAACAAGTGTCCACAAGAATAAGATGCTTCTCTTAGGGTGACACAGATTTTTAAAGCACATGGGACACAAATAATCAGGAAATTTCCCTTCACTATTTATGTAAACCATCTTCTCCTTGTTTGGATGATGATGAAAACAGGGAAGGAATAAGTTCTAGGTTCTGGAATTCATAATTTTATGCTGAGGGAGATGTAAAAGCTTCCGGGATATGAGGATTTTTTTTTCCTTATGGAGAAAAATAGGCTACACAGTGCCTGATGGATGAAGGCATCCAGATAGCTGAGATGTACAGTGGAAAGTTCCCAGTAAGGAATCAGGATAGATGATCAAATAAGCAATGTGCTAAGAGATCCACATTGACAGTAAAAGACGGCTATGGAAACAGAGGAGCCAGGCATGATGGTACATGCAAGCAGTTAGGAGGCAGGGGTCAAAGGAGCACTTCAAGTTCAAGGCCAGCCTGGTCTACCAGCGAGTTCCATGCCTTCAGGGCTACATAGGGGGATCCTGTTTCAAAGAGAGAGATAGGGAGAGGGAGGCAGAAAGATCAGAAGTTCAAAGTCAATCTTATGAGACCCTGTCGCAAAAAAAAATAAGTGGGGAAAACTGACAATGGCATCAACATTCTAGAGAAGTCAAGTTAGAATAAGTTTGTCCTGGATACAAAATACCCAAAAGACGGAAATCTCAAAGCCAACTGAAAACCATGTGGGAAGCTGCCCTTACACTATTACACATAAACATAGGTTAAAGTGACTTATTTGTTAGATATTTTGTGGGGAACTAAAATCTGAAACCTGTGAGACAAAGTTTTAAGTCTAGAACCTTTAAATTTGATATTGAAAAGCAAACCCAGAGTAAAAATAGCAAGGGTAAGAGCCTCACAATATAGGACATCATTTCGCTCTCAGTTTCTGTATTATGTATTCTTGGGGATAATACATTTGAGAAGAGAAGGGATTTCATTCCTGAGTAACTAATTAAGCCTTTCACATGATTACAGGCAAGATAATAGGACAGATGCTGGCCCACTCAATAGCAAAGCTTCTCAGTAACAATGAGAATTTCCCTTACATCAGAGAAAAATCTTGTGAAAGTTATAGTTTTTATTTTATCAAGAAAAACTACACCTACTTCCTCACCTCTGTAAAACTTTAAACATCCTAAATGAGAAGTCAGTAGAAGGTTACATTTCTCATATTCTTACATCATCCCTTATCTTTCTTGGAAGAGATGGAAGCAAAATGAAATTGTTACAGAGAATTTCTATGTGAATGGCTATAATTAGCCTGGTGGGAAAGAAGCTGACAGCTCAAGCAGGAAGCCACTATGTTGATGCTGCCAATTAAGTGAGTTTCCTTGGTGGTGGGTCAGGGATGCAAGGAGAAGACTGCTTCTCAGACTCTGGCCATTGTGGGGGTTTAGGGTCAGGCTGTTCCAATACACCTTCATTTACTCCTTCAGCAGGCACTTACTGCGGGTCAAACAACAGCCACCTCCCACACAGACAGTAGAAAAAACTTCTCAACCCTCCAAAGAAACAAACAAACAAAAAAGCCCTTCCCTCTTCAAACAAGATGTCAGACCTTCAGTAATGAATTGTCAGCAGCAGAGGCAGGGACTTGAATGCGAGGTATCTGTGGAACATTCTGGAGCTTGTACTGCCTTTTCAAGTTTCTCCCCATTTTTCTTTGTCTTGTACCTCCAAGGAATAACAAACACAGAGCAGTTTTTATTTTGTTTAACCAGTTTTGGGGATGGGCCTAAGACAGTTAGTAAGCAAATAATTAAATCATTTTTTTCCAAAGAAGAATATTTTCTTCTATTTCCAAGTAATAGATGTCTTCATTCTACTAGTTCCCTGTCCTTTCCTATCCTTGCTCCTTGTTATGGGAAGAATCATCCAGGACCCCTGTCTTCCTGCTTCAATGTGTCCAGAGTGGGCATCCTGTCTACAGCAGTTACTTCTTTACAATCTTAAATGGTGCTATAATCTCATCTGGCTCTCAAAGTAATGTCTATGTCTTTGGAAGTTTGGGGAAGAAATTTAAATGGGAGAATAAAATATAAAATAAGATTATCCTTCCTTAAATATTGTTGGCATTTGATTAGTTTCCATTTATTTATTTCTTTACTAAGCAAATATTGTATTTGATTTTAGGAAAAGATGATCACAATACGAGTACGCTATGAACCTTCCTAGGTCATCAAATGTCCCCAAAAATACAACTGCTGGCAGACACAAAGTGTATCCATTTCTTGCATACTTAGATCTGTGGTTTTACACTACTATGTTACAAAAGAAAACTATGACTCCATTATGTTTCCCTCCCCTTCCTGACAAAGGACAGAATGAAGGACTTCCCTGCAGTGACAACATCTTCTTTCTCAGTGCATTGGGGTTTAGAATCTAAGGTTTATCCAATAAGGAAAACCTAACAGTTGGAGAAGAAAAGGTGTGTTGGTTAGGGTTGCAGAGGCAAATAGGAACCCCGAGCATTTTCCTGTCTGCTCACTCCTCTGCCCTTACCAGTACAAACTACAGATGACAGAAAGAAAGAACACAAGAAATCAAGTGTAGCAACAGACCTTCTAGATATAGCAAACTGATATCAATACCTCTATCATTACCTAGCTAGAGAAGAGAACTGGGAAAAGTGGCCACACAGCTTTAGAACCAACAGACCTGAGTTTCTTCCCTTTTTAGCCTCCCTTCTGTCATCTTCATGATGGTAGTTACAATGCCTGCATCATCGTTTATTTGATTCACTGAGGTCATGAGCATAGAGCTCTCATCTCCACCTTCCCCTAGTGAATGCTCATTTATGCCCATACATTGGTTCATCACATACTCATTCTGAAAAAATACTTTAATAGACAGGTGTGGCAGTGCACACCTTTAATCCCAGCCCTTGGGAGCCAGAGGCAAACGGGACTCTGGGAATTTCCGGCCAGGCTGGTGTCCACAGAGAGTTCCAGGACTATGTAGAAAGACCCTGTTTCAAAACAACAAAAATCTCAATACATGTGGGAATCCCTATTGGTTCTGATATGAGATCTATCCATGGGGATATTCTATAGCTGAAATTTGTTATAGAAACATCAGTCAGCCTCTCTCCGGGTTGTGTTTCCATGATATAAGCTCCTAAATGAAACTATGAATATTTTATGTAACACTGCTTTTCTCTAGTGGGCACCTAGGGATCTGAACCAATCAAGGCATACTCTTTGCATGTTCTCCTTGATTGAAACCCCCACTCTTCCCTGCACTCTTATTTCAATATTCCTCCTCCCATTTTCCAGGTCTGCAGAGCAAAGAATAGATATTCTTCAAAGCTGGAATGATTCCTTCTGTCTTCAAATAGTGCAAGGAAATGACTGATGGTGTTTCTTGTGACAACAGTTCACGTATACTTTTTCTTGGGCTATTGCTGACGAAATCCATCTTACCCTTTCAAGTGGTCTGCACAGGATAAAGTTGGATTAAAATGCCTGGTGAATGCATGGAGAAAACAACCTACAAGTTAAATGAAATCTGAAACCAAAAGACAGATTTGCATAAAAAGAACTTACCTTATATTGGGATTCCCTGTTTTAAACACTAACATCCATACCCAGGGTAGTTTTCTTTAGTCATACAACAGTAGCAGAAATTCAGTGTGTTGATTAAACTAATATCCAAGCAACACCAGGGGATGAAACAAAGAGCTGGGGAAACTTGGATGCATGCCTTTCTGTTTCTGGGTAAGGGTTTTGTTACTGTTGTTGTGCCAATGGAGATAGATAGTAAAGATTAAAGGGAAAAGAAATCTATTAGTGCAACAGGCCATTCCATGTGTACTCCCCAAATTTGGAGTCAGAAACATTCCTTCCCCTTGCTCAGAATGGGGAAGGAATGGTTCCAACATACATAAGGCAGAAATTTGACTATGATAACCAATGGAATAAAATGATAATTTAAAATAATGTTTTTCTTCTCATTTCTCGGGGGCACTAAGGTGTTCTCTATACTCATGTTCGTTAGAAGCTACATACATAGCAAAAGATACTGCCCACACTGACCTGCCTTTCTCTGTGATGGCATCATTATTTCTCAAGAAGCATTTTTGAGGGCTATGTGAGGGGTATGCCAAGATGGAAGATTAGAAGCAGTTTCCTGTGATGCCAGGATTGAGAAAAGTCAGATAAAAAGGGAGGGGCATTATGCAAAGAGAGAAAACATAGAAGAACACTAGAAAGTACAAAGTAATTCAGAGACAGCTGAATAGCCTGGAGAAATACAAGGGCTAAGCAGCAAAAAGTGAGAAGCCAATCCACCAGGCTCCCCAGTGGAAGAAAGAGAGCCAAAGACATTTCCACAATATAAGCCAGGCAGGCATGGGGCTGGTGAGATGGCTCACTGGGTAAAGATACTTGCTGCCAAGCCTGACAACCTGTGTTTGATAATCAAGTCTACACTGGAGAGAACCAACTCTCAGAAGTTTTCTCCTGACCCCCTCCCCCGACACACACTCATGTATGTGTCTCTTCATATGTGTATGAAGAGGGTCGGTTCTACACTCAGAAGTTTTTTTTTTTTTATTTTAGAAACAATCTTATTTTACACATCAATCCCCCCATTCCCTCACCCTCTCATCCTCCCATGCCCCCCCAACCCACCCCCACCCATTCCCTAATGATAGTGAGGCCTTCTACGGGGATCATCAAAGTCTGTTACATAATTTTGGGCAGGGCCTAGGCCCTCATTCATGTATCTGGGCTGCAATATATCCCTCCATAGGGAATGGGCCCCCAAAGTCCATTTGTGCTCTAGGGATAAACACTGACTCAACTCTTAGAGGTCTCATGGAATGCCCAGGCCTCCTAGCTGGTACCCACATTTAGAGGGCTTGGTTCAGTCCAATGCTGGTTCCCCAGCTTTACAACTAGGGTCTCTGTTCTCTCACTAGGTCAGGTCAACTGTTTCTGTGGGTTTCTCCAACATAGTCTTGGCTCCTTTGCTTATCCCTTCTCCCTCTCTACAACTGGATTCTGGGAGTATGGCTCAGTGCTTAGTTGTGGGTGCCTGCTTCTGCTTTGATCAGCTACTGGAAGAAGGCTGTGGGATGACAATTAAGGTAGTCATCAATCTCATTATAGGGGAAGGGCATCAAAGACAGCCTCTTCACTACTGCCTAGATTCTTAGTTGGGGTCATCCTTGTGGATCTCTGAACATTTCCCTAGTGCCCGAGATTTCTCTCTAAACATATACTGGCTCTCTCTATTAAGGTATCTCTTTTCTTGCTCTCCTCTATTCCTCCCCTGTCTCAGTCTTCATGATCCCTCTTGTTCTCCTCCCTCCTCCTACTCTTCTCCCTTTCTCTTTGTTCTTGCTCCCTCCCCTCTCCCCGCCATACTCCCAATTTGCTCAGGAGTTCCTTTCCCTTTCCCTTTCCTGGGCGGGGGCATTGTTTCTCTCTTAGAGTCCTCCTTGTTTCCTAGTTTCTCTGGTGGTGTGGATTGTAGGCTGGTAGTCCTATGCTTTATGTATACTATTCATATATGAGTGAGTGCATACCATGCTTGTCTTTCTGTGACTGGGTTACCTCACGCAGGATATTTTCTTCCAGTTCCATCCATTTGCCTGCGAATTTCAAGATTTTATTGTTTTTTTCCCATTGTGTAAATGTACCACATTTTCACTATCCATTCTTCAATTGAGGGACATCTAGGTTGCTTCCAGGTTCTGGTTATCACAAACACTGCTATGAACATAGTTTAACATATACCCTTGTTGCATAAATGTGCATTCTTAGTGTATATGCCCGAGTGGAATTGCTGGATCTTGAGTAGACTGATTGCCATTTTCCTGAGAAAGCCCCATACTGATTTCCAAAGTGGCTGTGCGAGTTTGCACTCCCACAAGCAATGGAGGAGTGTTCCTCTTTCTCTGCATCCTCTCCAGCATAAACTGTCATTGGTGTTTTTGATTTTAGTCATTCTGGCAGGTGTAAGATGGTATCTCAGAGTTGTCTTAAGTTGCATTTCCCTGATGGCTAAGGATGTTGAGCACTTTCTTAAGTGTCTTTCAGCCATTTTAGATTCCTTTATTGAGAATTCTTTATTTAGTTCTGTATTTAGCCACTTTTTAATTGGATTATTTGTTGTTTTGGTGACTAGCTTCTTGAGTTCTTTGTATATTTTGGAAATCAGCCCTCTGTCAGATGTGGGGTTGGTGAATATCTTTTCCCATTCTGTGGGTTGCCGTTTTGTCTTTCTGACTGTGTCCTTTGCTTTACAGAAGCTTCTCAGTTTCAAGAGGTCCCGTTTATTAATTGTCAATCTCAGTGTCTGTGCTCATGGTTTTATGTTCAGGAAGCATTCTCCTGTACCAATTCGTTCAAGGGTACTTTTTCTTCTAAGAGGTTCAGTGTGACTGGGTTTGATTCATTTGGACTTAAGTTTTGTGCATGGAAATAGATATGGATCTATCTGCAATCTTCTACATGTCAGCATCCAGTTATGCCAGCACCATTTGGTGAAGATGCTTTCTTTTTTTCCATTGTATAACTCTAGCTTCTTCACAGTTTTCCTAAGTCCTAAATTTATCTGGCGATTTGGCATGATAGACTTGTGTGACATTGTGGCACTTTCTACACTCGGGGGCTATTCCCAAACAATTGGGTTAGGGGCCATATTGCTTAA